AATTTATATAAAAATTAAGGATAGTTGATATTAATGTATAACTGCTTTCACTATATTAAAATTTTGATATTTTTAGTGAGAAACAAAAATGATATAGTATACTAATAATACTATATAAGTCTACTTTATCCAATATTTCTTATTTTAATTTATAATACAATATAATAACTTTAAAAATAAATATATAGTATATAAAATATTTTTTTTATCTTAAATATTACTACAATTGTATTATTTATTTATTTATTCTTCATAATTTCATTATAATGTCAAGAAAATCACAGAAATTTTGGGAGTGTGGAATGAGTGGAAATGAACCAACGAGATTCTTATAGTTGTTTATTTTATTTTTCCGGAAAAGGCAAAACTGTCGATTAAAAAAAATGAACAGTTCAAAATACATTAAAATTGAAATCAAATAGTAAAAGAAGTAGAATTGAGATAAAAAAACTTTGTCTGAGTTGGGAAGTTAGTTTAATCACTGTTTCAATGTACGTATAAATAAATAATGTATAGCGTGGAGTGAGCGTACGGTGATGTAGTAACAACCGAATATATATGATACAGATAGATACTTGGCGAAAGGTGCACGAGTTCAATCATACAAGGATGGATGTCCCGCCTTCCCATCAAAGCTTACCTCACTCTCATGTGCCGTGCCTCTCACGTGTCACACATTAATTAATTTCTTCTCCTTAAATTAATAATAATAATAATAATAATAATAGTAGTAGTAAATTCCAGTGCTTAATAGTATAGTAAATTGTACGGTTGGGTTGGGTTGGGTTAGAGGTTAGGTAATAAGTTAAGTATGGTTCACAAATCCCACTAGCTAATTAATCAATCCTACAATGTATATCCTTATCCTAATCCTAATCCTCATCATCAAACCAAGCCAACCCAACCTCCACATCTCTTTGCACACAATTGATCATTGCCATTGCTTAATTTCCAACCAATTCTAATTCATTTGATTAATTAATCTTATGATATGATTGTCAAAATTTAAATTAAATTAAATGAGGCTGTGAGTATGTATTATGGAAAATATGTCTAATCATTAAACTTGAAAGTTTTTTCACTCTAATTAATGAAGTATTTTCAAGGTTATAATTTTTAAGAAATGAGACAACTATATATATGGTTAAACTCTATCCTAATTCAGTCCAATCCAATGCAGGTTATAGAATAAGATAAGGCACGGGTTGGCTCAACTCATCTCGACTTGGCTCGGCACAATCATGTAACTTGCTTCCATATGTGTATAAAGGCAGATTTAAAACTTAAAAGGTAAATTAATTATTTTAATTGAGTTGAAATTTAATTAATTAGATAACAATGGCATTTTAAATTTCAAATGAGATGTCTATTATATTTTTTTCAATTCAGTAAACAATTGGGTGAAGCTTCAAATTTTAAATTTTAAATGAAACATTGAATTATTATTATTATTTTTTGATAGCACAATTATTAAATTATTAGAAAATTTCTATAATGGGATAAAATCGCGTGCCACTGGTGATCTGAACATGTGTGCCCATACATTTATGGTGGAGGGCCATGTACGAGATAATCACAATTTACCATTTTACCAATTTATTTCTCTCTCGATGAAATTTGGTCTTGAAAAAATTATTATTTACTTAGGTAAATCGTACTTTTTTTAATCTTCTACTTAATCATTAAAAATTGAATATTTCATTAATATTTGATTTCTCAAATTCTTTCCAAATGAAATTGTTCCTACTTAATTGTTAAAAATTAAGTATTTGAGGTGCGTTTGCCAATTAGTTGAGAGCTTTTAACTGTTAGTTGATTTTATTAATTTAGTTGTTAGTTCATTCAATTACCTGGTTTGATTAGATTATTCAATTAGTTATTTCTATTAAATTGTTTGATTAAACAACTGCTTGATATTGGTTGCTTATACATAAAAATCACAATTAAAGACATTTATCTGTTATTTTCTTAAGTATTCAATTTTATTTATTTTGATTTAGAAATTTTGAGAATTCTTATTATTAATTATTGAAAATTATAAAGTATTTATTTTCTTTAAATTTGAAAAAAAAAATACCTTTATTGAAAAATAATAATATTTTTTATTGAAATAGTGTAAAATATAAAATACTAAATGTTTCATATATATTTTTTTTATTATGTTAATTATTATTTATTAATTAATCATATTTTATTTATTTTTAATATAAAATTTATATAATAAAAATATATGTAAAGAAATTAATAATATTTGTCTTTGATTTAATTTTAATAGATTTATATATTTTACAAGTAAAATAATTTACATGTAATAATTTATAATAGTAATTATTTTAAATTTGTAAAAATAAATACATGTAATAATTTATAATAGTAATTATTTTAAATTTATAAAAATAAATTATAATTTATTAATAAAATATATTAAAAATAATTAATAAATACTGTAATAAAAATATATTTATATGTATGAAATGAATGGTTAATTTTTAAAAGCAAATAAAGAATAAACAAAATTAAATTGAAAATTACTAAAACATTGAATAGATTAACTTTTTTAAAATTAGTTTTTTTTTATTTAAAAAATTCTTTTAAAAAAATTAATTTACCAAACACGTAAATTAAATTAGTTGTTTAATTGGTTAAACAACTATTTAATAAGCTCTCCAAAAAAAACTCTTTCACACCCCTTTCATTAATATTTGATTTCTATATTCTCTCCAAATGAAATTTTCAACAATAAAATATTATTTGCATTTGTATTTGTATTTGAATTTAGATTTGAATTTTCAATTGCAACATTTGATATCAGTTTAAAACAAAAATTATCATCAAAATAGTAATGAAACACTCAAGATCACGTCTGATTTGCTAGGTGTAATTAAAAAATTATTAAAGGGCTACTTGGCAATTAGCGGTCAGCTAATTTGATTAGTTGGTTTGGGGTTTAGGTTTAAAATTATTAGTATATGTATTTTTTATTAGATTTTTTTTAATTAATACTATATATTATTATTAAACTTATAAGTTTAAATAAATATATTCATTTTTGTAAAAACATTTATGTGATAAAATATATATATATGAATTAATATTATTAATATTTTTATTTTATCTTTATTTTAACAGATTTACAATTTTTTATAAAAAGAAAATAATTGATATATAACAAAATAATTATTTAAATTTATTAAAATGAATTTATAAGTTATTTAAACAAAAATTCAAATATTTAATAAATAGTGTAATAAAAATATATTAATATATGTGAAATAATTAATTAATTTTAAGTACAAATAAGGAATAAGAAAATTTTAAATGAAAAAACTAATTTAAAACGTCGGGATACATAGCGTTTCCGAAATTTGCCTTTTGGACCCAATAAGCTAATTGAAAATGTTAATTTATCAAATACCAAAATTAGCTGGTTTACTAGTCAAACAACTAAAAACTTTTCAATAAACTAAAAGTTCTTAAAAATATTGTTTGTCAAACACCTCGAAAATTGTAGTATATGTTTTGACATTTTTAGTTGGTTTAAAATAATTAAAATATTAGATATTTGATGTAATATAGATAGTAGCTGGTTGAGATGTTTTTAAATATAGACAAAAGATATGTGGTATAATATTTTAAATAAAAAATTATATTGAGAGCTATTGATGAATACGAAGGCAAAATTGTTCATGTGGTTTCGAAATTCAGCGTAAATCTTCTTTTACTTTAAAAATTGTACGATGCTCCCTTATATTTTAAAAAATATTATTTTAAATCCTACTATGGTTTTAAAACTCAATGTAAATCCCCACTTTATTTTAAAAAATTGCATGGCGCTTCTTATATTTTAAAAAATATTGCATACCTTATCATGCAAAACATATATATATGAAATCATCTTCTCATTACACAAGGGTGTTTCATAGTGATGGAGTTTCATTCAACATTTTTAAAAGTATAAGGGAATGTTATGCAATTTTTAAAGTATAAAAGGATTTTATGGTGAATTTCGAAATATAAGAGAGTTATTAAAAATTTTACCTGAAGGTGAATTTCGAAATACAAGAGAGTTATGAACAATTTTACCTGAATATGAATAGTATAAAAGAAAATTGTTTGAAAAATAAATAAATGGTATAGAATTTTAGTCGGTTGCAGTCAATGTAACTTACAAATATAAATAAAACCAATTGATTAACATTAGCAATCATTAACAATCATTAAGTGAGGACAGATATGCACCTCATAAATTATTGAATTAGTAATATAATTCTATTAATAACCTTTTATCCTCAACTTCTAAGGCTTCACATTTTATTTATTTTATGGCATCCTCTTGAAATGAAATTAAAAAATGAGATTGAACAATCAAATTGCATATACATACATACATACTGAATCAAATCACAACAATTCAAATTTTGAGAACAAAAAAACATAAGTGCACAAAGATATGACATGACTTGTAAATTATGCATTAACAACTTAGTATATAGTATACTAAGGCTGTGTTTGTCTCGGGGTTTGGATTTTAAGTTGGGATTTCAATAGTAAAATTTTTGAATTTGAATAATTGTATGATGTGATATAAATAGGTGTTGATGTGATGTTTTGAATGTAAAATTGATTTTTAATATAATATAAAAAATAAAAAAATAGGTGTTTGATTTGATTTTTTTTTAGGAGAAAAAATGAGATAAATAGTGAAAATCTAATCGAATCCCCCAAACAAAATCAATTCATTTAATTATATATAGTGAATTAGAAATGGTAGGTACGTAGTTGAACTTACATATATACACACATCACTTTCCCACCAATAAAACCATCTGTATGGAAAAAGATGCTTCAACTTTTCTTCATAATCATACACATACACATACACATACACATACAACCACCCAGTCCTTCAAACCCTACCCTATAAACAACAACTTCAAAGCTATCATTATTTTAATTAATATTCAAACCTCTAAACTAAAAGTATATATATATATATATATATATATAGAGGTGTCGTTTTGTGTTGTCTTGTGGGCATTCAAAAACTTGAAGCTCCCATTCATAAACAGTTCCAAAAATAGGCAGAGGCTATAAGGCTAAGTCTGAGAAGATATCATATCATATATATATATATATACAGTGCTATTCATCAGTGCATCGCGCAATAGGTATGTTTGCGGTCACAGCCCTGTATCCTCTTAATTACTTTACATTCATTTATCTATGTTTTGAATGTGTTCTAAGTTTTTTTATTTTTTATTTTTTTTAAAATACTAAAAAAATAAAAAATAAAGTGTTTGATATGATTGTATGAAGCATGGAATTTGATGTTTGAAATATAAAATATCTTATTAATATAATATTAATATTTTGTAGAAATATATTTTTTAGTAAATAATGCAAAGATAAATTTGAAAAAATAAGTTAATATAGCTTCTTCTGTATTTGGAGAGCAATATCGACTATAGAAGCAATTGCCCAAAGCCTAGGTGATGCTGTGAGTGTAATCAAGACAAAAAAAAAAATGCAACAATGTAATACTACCGTGGATATATGGTATCACTAACAATTATTTTAGATTTTAAATAAGGTGTATTTGGTTTATACTTTAAATTAAGTTTTTTCTTTTTATTATTTAATATATATAATTACTAAAAATATATATCTTTTTATATCATATCAAAATATTATTTAAATAAAACATTAAATTAAAAAATATAGACTCGAACACAAATTATATGTAGTTTTTATGAGTTGGTTCCAATTTTATTAATTTTAATATATACATGTATATTGGGCTATTTTGATTTAAATTTCATTTTTTACAATTTTAATTTCATTTGTATAAAAGGAAAAATACAAATAAATACTGTATAACAAGCATTACCTACTTTCTCATATAAATATTGATATATATATATATATATATAATAAACAACCTTTTGAAATGTATATTAAATCAAACTCTTGTTACATATCCAACACGCACATTTCAATATTACAACTATATTAAAAAATATAAATATAGATATACTTTTCTTTTTTATTGATCATTTTTATATTTTCTTTAATTATTCCCATATTATTTATCTGGTAGTCAATCTTCTCCTTAATTTTCATTGATCTCTCTCATTTTCTACATATAGAAATTTTCATTTATATGAATTATATAATTATTTATATTTTATAAAATAATATACATATTGAGGATAGTTTTATTATGGAATTCCAAACACATTCATATATTGTTGTAGGTTTAATCAAATACATACATATATTTTGTATTTGCATACATTATCACATAATTGTTAATATATTACACTACAAACTCATTATACCATTTCACAATTTTAATTTCAAATAAAAATAGACCTTTAAATTTCAAAACCTCTTTCAAAGCAAATTCAACATAACTCAAAATGCAACTAAAAACAACATTCTATGGAAAATTGATGTGTATATATATATATATATACACACACACACACACGTGTGTGTATTTTATATTGAAAATTGCCAATATGAGTATTGTTTTATGTAAATTATCACTCTTATTTGTTTGTTTTAGGCACATGCCATGAATTTTTAGTATTATTATTATTATTTGTCATTGGACTCTTATCCTATATATTTTTCAATTATGTTTTATCTGGATTTGTTTGCTTAGTATTTTAAATTTTTTTTTTTAATAATGTATAAAAAATTGTATCAATAGCATAATAAATAGTGTTTTAGGTTAAATGTTGATATTTTGAGAAGTTAATATATATATATATATATTTATTGAAAATCGGGCAGAAAGAAATATGAGGGCAAACAAACCCTCTATGCTTACATGTATATATTATATTCTTGTATGCATATTTTGAGTGTAGAGGGAAAAAATTTATATTTGTGTGTGTATATATGTATATAAGTAATAGCGAAAATAACAGAAAAAGTATGGGTGTGATTTTTTAGCATTTTTTAAACATTGATATTTGGTTTGTGATTTTTTATTTTTTATTTTTTTCTGAGGGGAAGGGAAGTTGTGCAAAGAAATCTTTTGGGTGTTAAAAGGATAATGATTTGTTACAAATATATGAGTAAATTATTTATTTATAATGTTAAAAATTGGAAAAGAAAAGATTCCTTCAAAGGTATGTATACATATAGATATGATGTGTATACGATAGTTAGGAAGGAAGCTTTGAATTTATTGATTATTGAGTAGCCATTACTGCAGAAGAATGAACATACAAATTGATGTTGGACCACTTAACCACAATGAACTTGCTTGCTCAATATACATATATATATATATATATATATATAGAAGTGGGATCAGATGCTGAATCAAATTGTTCGGCGTGAATGCTGAACGCATGAAATTTAATTATTTTATTTTATATAATTAAATTTTATTATTATTATAATCATGTAAATTAATTTTAATGAGGTTCAGCACCGGTGCATGAATTTTTTCATTCAGCACCGGATCTCCTCCGATATAATATATATATATATATATCTACACATGTTGCCTTTTAATTAAACTGAATTAATCTTAATTATTACCCCTCAATTAGTTTAGTTTATTAATTTTGGTGGTGGATGATCACAATAAGTATGTATGTAAGTGAGTAAGTAATCAATTTAATTAACCAAATTGAGACACTTGTCTCACTCATCATTATTGGATTAATCAAATCAGTTCAATTGTAGAGACACAGACAGACAGACATAAATTTGCAACTTCAACTAATCCCAACTGTTTTCAATCACCTAATCCACCTACTTATCTTTAATTCTCTCTCTTCTTTTAGCTTTAGGTTCAGTACTATTCATTCAACTTAATTATTTTAATTTCTTAGTATTATTATTTACTTTTTTTTCATTCAAATTTATGCTTATTAATATTATGATTTTTTTATTTTTTATTTTTGATTCTGTAATAAAAAAAAATATATCTTTTTTTTTATTATTATTTAAAAAGTGCATGGTTCTTGTATTAAATAGTATTTGAGAGTACTTAGATCATATATAATTTTGGGATCTTCACCATTCAAATATATTAAGATGGAGTACACTTTTACACTAGTTAATATTTGTTCTTTCGCTATATATTTATTGTTTTAACAATAGTTTAGATATAATATTTTCTAGAAAAAATAATTTTCTTTGTCCGGTAAAATTATGCCCCCTTTTTTTTTTTGTAAATTTACAGAAAAAAAATGACATAATTTTATCGGACAAAAGAATATATTTTTATAAAAAAATTATAAAAATTGAATAATAATTAAAAAAATAAATAAATCCAACAAACTCATAGGCTGAATCCATTTCTAATAAATGGTAATTTGACATTATATCGTATGAAAAAGAATAATTTATTTTTATTGAAAATATGTAGAATGAACAGTAAAAAGGATAAAAAAAAAATTGTAACCGAAATAATAGGTTTTGATTTTTATTTTTACTATATTATTTTATTAAATAGTTAATAAATTTGATATTTTTGATTTGTTCTTTCAATTTTTTTTATGATATTATTCCCAATATATATAATTATTATGTTTATCTTCGTATAAAAAATTAATATTCAACATACAATATTATTTAAATATTTTCTAATACTTCACATAAAAAATATACTCCAATCTAAAATACTAAATAAACAAACCTTTTATACATAAGAAGTCTGTTCTTTTTTGTGCAACTATTGAAATATACCCAAAAAAAAATAAAAAAAGTTTGTTCTTTTGTAATTTTAAAGTGAAATCAATATTATTATTTTGTATAATTTTTACTAAAAATATATTATTTCATATTATAAAAATATCACATCAAAATATTATTTAGATAAAAATTTAAATTAACATTGCATTTTAAATTAATTTCAAACTACAGTCAAACAAACTCAAAATATATTTATATTTTAAACAGTAAAGGTATATAGTATTGAAAACAACAAAACAAAGATATTGATTAATTTAAGAAAATTAATTTTTCTTTAAAATTTAAATGCTTAGTTATTTTTATGTTAATTTTGGGCTTGTTTGACTTGTTTTGGATTTTTGGTTTTTTATTTTTTAATTTGAATTTTTTTAATCTAAATTAAATATTATACAAGTTATATAATAAAAAACACTAATTTGAATTACAAATCAAACAAACTTTATTAAACATCTTGCATTATTATGTTAAAATTGAAATACAATTTTTTCATAGAAAAACATTTATATAAATAAAATTATTTTTTTAATCTGATTCTTAAAGCAGTGTACAAATGATTCTTTATTTGCTTCCGTATTCATTTTTGTAGCTCAATTTTACTTTTGTTAAAAAATTTACATATTTGAAAGGAAAATAAATAAGGCCGAAAAAACAAAAAAGAGAAGCCGACTACAGATGTTGCCGTGGTTGGCTACCAAAACCAAACTATTCTAATAATGCTCTTTATATTTTATATTTGTATTTTATATTTAAATAATAATTGAATGTAATATATACTCCATTCGTTCGCCTATAAGGTCACATTTAACTTTTGCATCATTGTATTTAATATTAAAAATATTTTTATATTTGTATAATTTTTTTTTACAAATGTCATTTTATTAGTATTATAAGGCACTGATGAAAGTATTTTTACAATTTTTTGTTAATTTGTATTACGTTTTTATATAATAATTAATATTCAAATATGAACACACAAACAATAGATGAAATCCTTAAAGCCGAACGAATGTTGTATATATATATATTGAAAATATAATGTAATATATTTTTATAAATAAATATAAAATCTGAATAATATTTAAATTCTAAAAATATTTATTCATATAAAATATAAACTCTTAAGTGATATAAAATTTGTTTGATTTTGATTAGAAATCTAAATTTAATTTAAATAGTATTATAATTTAATATTTTGTAGAAAAAAATAATTTGAATTTAAAATTCAAACGAAACACACGCACTATTTCAATAAAAATATATAAATTAGGTTCGTCTAATGTGACTTGCCTGTAGGGCCTAGTTTGTAGGATATTAGATTCGATCGGAAGTTTACCCAGTGCACACTTTTCGGGTAGAGGCTACCGATTCTCACGTCATACAATAATATATATAATTATATTTAATCTGAACTGTTTATTTAATTATTTATTATATTATTTTATAATTTTTAAATATACATAAATATAATTAAATAGCTTTTAACATTTTTGTTCTTCCTTTCACAAATAAAATAATAATGTAGGTGAAAAGAAAAAAAATATACATAGCTTTAATTAGTTAAAAATATTATTTAATCAATTTTTTTTGTTTAAAAATAATTATACATTTAATGTTAATTTTATTGAGTTTTTTCTAATTCTTTTATTAAGTTATTTTAAAATTTCTATAGGTTATTATTATTATAGTTTCAAAATAATTCTAAAATGATGATGTTAATTTAAACTTTTATTTAAATAATATTTTGTAGCAATTTCAAATTAAAATAAACTCATAGAAAAACAAATTTCATTTTCCTAAAATCATATATATTTTGTTTTTTGTTTAACTAGTTTATAAAAGTATTATTTCACAAAATATCTAATTTAATTATTAATTATTAGTTAAAAAATAAATAAATATGAGTATTAAAAAAACTTTAAAATATTATAGTAGTATAATTTAAAGTATTATATAAAAAAGTAAGTTTTAAATATATAATAATATTTCTTTATTTTTTTTTTAATTTTGAATATATAATAAAAATTCAGATTAAATATAATCCTATATATTAGTATTTTATTTTTTATAAATTTAGAAGTACAAATATAGAATATTTAAATCATAATTAATACTTAAATATTTCTCTCTTTTACTTAACATATTAGTTTTTTAGTGGATGAAATAGGAGAACAGAGAATTTTGATACGGAAATTTTGAAACTGTTGACAGCATGGCTTGTACTAAAAGACATCATGTATATTGACATTATAGAAGCATTAGTTAGATTTTGGGTAATATGACAGTGTAAGCATTCCCATATGCTTTTATTTCTGCAGAGAAGAGAGATTTTTAATTAATTAATTATATAGGAGAATGAATTTAGGAGGTGGAAGTTGGTTGCTCGTATTTTAAATTGACGCTTCTTCCATGGTCTCTTCTTTACCTCCTCAGATATGCTCTCCTCTCCATACGCCTGCAAACCACGCCGTTGAAAGGTAAGCTATTAATTATTATTGTCTTTGTTTTATGCGGATTTATGGAACAGTCGATGTCTGACAAATCGTTCTGATACTTCAGGTTAGGTTCCTTCGCCTTTCTGGTTGAAATGCAGTGATGACGACTCTTACATATATGCTTCTGTTTCGTTTCGTGTTCATGAGCAGATAGGAAAAAGAGAATGCTGAGTGGTTTCTGAAGCATTATGGACGCCAGACAACGATTGTGAGTATAATTATTCTCTTAGAATCGAATGTTAGATACTGTATGTGGAAGTTGAACAATGATTTTCATATCATTGGGATTGATTTGACCTAATCAATATATGTTTTTTTGTTGTCATATCTGTTTCGGCAGTACCAATATCCTTATTATTCCTTAATGATTCGATACTAAGAAGCTAAAGGTGACGACACCATGCAAACCGTTTATGGACAATCTGATTTTGCAATTACCCATAAATCATGTTGAAAGGTGCTTCAGTTGTTAATGGATTGCTTAATCGCAGTGAAGCACTAATATACATAGAATAGCATTTTTTGAGTAGTCATGGACGAAATTGCATATGATTTGTGGAAAATGTACTCTACGTAGCGTTGTCTTGGTATAATTTTGTGTATTCAACCTAAGTCAGTCTTGTCTATATTGGTTCTTCCATAACAGGAAGTCCCTGATTTCATACCTTGATGGAGATTGGAAACCGTATATTTTGGTCCAGTAGTAACGAAAAATAAATATTTCAAAATGTAGTTGTTAATACTTATTTCATTTGGGGTTCCCTTCTAACAGAGACGATGCATACAAAAGAAAGCTACAGAGAATCAAAGTGAAAGGTGTGGAGAATCCTTTGAAACTCGTGATCGCTGGCAAGGGCAGCAGCAGATGCAAGATCCACCCCCTGAAATTAGTCCTGGCAATCATGGTGCTAGCAAGCTTTCTGTCTCTTCTTTCGTCCCCAACTGTGTGCCAATCAAATAGTGTATCCCTCAAAGTTTCCCGGTACTCATCCTCTACTTCCTCCCATAATTTTTACTTTGAGCACAAGCCAATATGCTCAAAACTAAGTAAAAAGCATTCTGAAGAAAGAGCAGAGTAATGCATATCTTATTACCCACCCATTATTTACTTAATGCAGGCAGCATTTTGTTAACAGGTGGATATGGGGTGGGGGGCTGGATGCACGTTACGATGCCTCAGATATCAACATCAACTGGGAAGATATTTCGTCTTTATTAAACAAGTTACCCAAGGACATCAAAGTCGAAGGCATCGGCCTTCTGAACTTCAAAGAATATGAAATAAAAAGCTGGAAGCAACTCATTCCTGCTGCTGATCATTTTGTTCTCCATCTTGACTATGCTGACAAAAACATGACTTGGGAAACTCTGTTTCCTGAGTGGATTGATGAAGAACAGGAAGAGGAGCTTCCCAGTTGCCCTTCTCTGCCCAAAGTTGAAGTTCCAAGGCAACGACTCGATCTCATTGCCGTAAAACTCCCTTGCAGAAATGAAGGAAACTGGTCTAGAGACATTGCTCGCCTGCATCTGCAGATCTCTGCAGCTACTTTAGCAGCCTCCTTCAAAGGAAATTACCCGGTGCACGTGCTCTTCGTGTCGAGGTGCTTCCCTGTACCCAACATGTTTACCTGCAAGGATCTTGTCGTACGTCAAAATAACACATGGCTGTATAAACCAAACTTGAATGTGTTGCGCGAAAAGCTACAGCTCCCCATCGGATCTTGCGAGCTTGCACTTCCCCTCGGAGTTACTGCAGGTTAGCTAAACTTAGTAAATATTATATATACATTATGAGTTTTCGATATATACTGAGCACGTACACTGATGAACACAGAAAGGGATTACAACTCTGGCAAGAAGCAACGGGAGGCATATGCTACGATTCTTCACTCAGCTCATGTTTATGTGTGTGGCGCGATCGCAGCAGCACAGAGCATCCGGATGGCAGGGTCGACTAGGGACCTTGTAATACTCGTAGATGAAATGATCAGTGATTACCACAGAAGTGGACTTGAGCTGGCTGGATGGAAAGTGAGGACGATAAAGCGTATAAGAAATCCTAAAGCCGAGAAAGATGCCTACAACGAATGGAACTACAGCAAGTTCAGACTGTGGCAGCTTACTGACTACAACAAGATCATTTTCATTGATGCAGATCTGCTCATCCTCAGAAACATCGATTTTCTGTTCGCAATGCCCGAGATCTCCGCAACTGGGAACAACGGTACAATGTTCAACTCGGGTGTGATGGTGATAGAACCCTCCAATTGCACGTTCGAGCTCCTAATGGATCACATAAACGAGATCGATTCCTACAATGGAGGGGACCAGGGGTACTTGAATGAAATATTCACATGGTGGCATAGGATACCAAAGCACATGAACTTCCTGAAGAATTTCTGGATAGGCGACGACGAAACTGTAAGGCAGAAAAAAGTGAAGTTGTTCAAGGCAGAACCTCCAATCCTCTATGTCCTGCACTACTTGGGCAATAAGCCGTGGATGTGCTTCCGGGACTACGACTGCAACTGGAATGTGGACATACTGGAGGAATTTGCGAGCGACATTGCGCACAGCAAGTGGTGGAAAGTGCACGATGGGATGCCGAAACAGTTGCAGGAGTTCTGTCTGTTGGCGTCGAAGCAGAAGGCGCAGTTGGAATGGGACAGAAGGCAAGCGGAGAAAGGGAAGTACCCGGATGGGCATTGGAAAGTAAGGATAAGAGACGAGCGGATGGGGAGATGCATCGATCCATACTGCGATTGGCAGAGCATGTTGCGACACTGGGGCGAGACCAACTGGACCGAGACCGACTTCCCGGTGCCGACGCCGCCTGCATTATCTTCTACTAGTAGTACTAGTACTAGTACTAGTTTGAGATGAAGATGAGGTTTGCGACCTACTTTACTATTACTGTTACTATGTATCATCGCCGGTATAGAGAGAGTTTTTGCATGGCCTTTGAGCGATGGTACAACGTTACCTTTCTTTGTTGTTATAAGACAAGAAGACACTAGTCATATTTTTAAGATCCAGAGCAGAGTATCATGCTTCTTGTTTTGTTTATCACTCTTGCATCCTGTATTTTTGTTTAAGCCCTATTTCTACCTCATCTACGCATTTCTTTTTGTCTTACAATTCTTGGAATCGATCATTTCAGTTTTCGGATTAGGCCATAATGGACCAAAGATATTAGATATACTTCCCTTTACCTAACCATCTTCATCTCTTAAAAGATAACATGAAATTTCAGTTTTGAGTATGATAAGGACAAGGATGCGTACAGTTTGAAGAATTGTGTTATAATCATTATATTATATAATCAATTGACTGATTAATATAAAGTCTATTTCGTGTGTTTAAATATCATATAAAATTATATTCTATTTACTTTTGTTTGATTATTTGGTATGATTGTTTTTTCTTATTCAAAATGAATTTTGGTATCCTCCTGATGTTTGATTAAAATTTAGGAACATCCTCAATGTTTTTAATTCATTGGATCAATTTCATTGACAATCCAACGATTGAATTTGATTGAGGATATTTTGGTAATTCAAAAATTAATTAAGATATCTAATTAAAAAAATCAATTAAAAAATTATCATAACTACCTCTGATAATTTCGGGATTAAGTTTTTCTTAAACAAAACAAAAACGTTTGCAAATAATTACTTTTAAAATCGTATAAATTCAAATTATAAAGATGTATACAATGTCACAAAATGATGTCTCTGTAATATTATTACAATGTTTTCCATAAAATACTTTTCTTATATAATTTAATTAAACGATGTCCAAGTAAATACATTATGATATATTATATCAACTCACCGATTATGATATGACAATTATTTAAATAAATTAAAAATCAAATATATATATATAAATATCATTCTCACCCCATCTTATTTATCAAATCCTAAATTCACAACCCAAATACCCCTCTCCCGTTGCGCTGCCTCCGTTTACAACACAGTCCTCCTCCGCCGCCGCTAACCTCTTCAACCACGCCCACTGCCGCCGCCGACCTTTACAGCCATGCCCGCCGTCGTCAAATAACCGCAGCCGCCATCGATTCCTTCTCTATCTGCACATCCGCACTTGACGGAAGTCGGCGACGACGCGCAATTCCAATATTCCTGTTATCGAAGTTTAGGACCTAATACTTGTAGTTTACAACTAATCGAACACATATGAAACAAGAAACATCGAATCTTTTATATACTTTCTTAATCGAAGGAGTTCGGACTCAGTTTACCCAATATTTCAACCGACTAGCAACACTTACACACAACCTCGACCCAAACACTACCGACATCCACAGAAACGCACAATCAGCGCGATTAACAACCTAATCGAAAGAAATCTCAAGATTCTAAGCCTAAATCATCGCGGACAATCAATTACACCACGAACAGCCCATAAACATAGAATCGAGAAATCAAACCGAAGAACAGCTCTAGAACAAGCTGTAATACAACCACGGTGGATGAACTTCAAGTTCCGATGGCCAAACTCGCCGGAATGCACCAGACAGATCGATCGCGTTCGTCGGGAAAGCTAGGGCTCCAGAGAGTGAATATCGCGATGTGAAGGAGTGAGGATTAATCTGTCCAGTGAACCGGGAAGCAGTATATATATATATCAGACCCCTTGGACCGGTTTGAGGGCGGTCCAGGGCGGTTCAGGCCATCCGAACCCATCCTCCAATTCATCACTCAATCGGGTCGAACCGCGGGCACGGGATCCGGGTTTCGATAGGTCGGGTCGGGTCGAAGTGTAATATGCACAAAACATCACAAATCTCCACCTTTTTGGGCATTGGAGAAAGTGCTTCAAGGGTGTCATCCCTGTCCGAGCTCCAACGATTTAGTCTTTTAACCTGCGGACTTATTAACACGGTTAATGTTCTCAAGTTTTAAAACAACTATAAAAACAACTCAGCTTCACAACTAACAAAAAACAGCTACATGATTAAATATGTCATGCTGAAAACAGAATTTTAAACAACAAAAGATACAAACCTTCAAGTTTTAAAGATTCTCCTAATCAAAAGTATCTATATAAACTGTTTTCTTACACAAATTGAATTTTGTTATTGATAAAACTTTTGTTCCCATGTCCGCAGGATTATACTCAGAAGGTATTTTTTCTAGTTTTAAAAAACCCTTAGACACTATATCACGAATGAAATGAAACCTAACATCTATATGTTTCGTTCGATCATGAAAGACTGGGTTTTTACAAAGCTGAATTCCGGATTGACTATCTGAAAAAACTGTTACTTCATTTTTCAAGTAGCCTATTTCATTTAATAAACCTTTTAACCACATACCTTCCTTCAATGCTTCAGTTATGGCCACATATTCCGATTCTGTCGTAGAGAGGGCAACAATATGTTGTAGTTGGGATTTCCAACTAACACAAGAATCACACAAAGTAAAGATATACGACGTAGTAGACTTCCTAGAGTCTCTATCATTCGCATAATTAGAATCCACATAGCCATTCAGTTTTAACTCATTAGTGTGTTTACCAAATACTAGACCAACTTCAATAGTATCAACTAAGTATTTAAACACACACTTTAATGCACTCCAGTGTTCAACACCCGGGTTAGCCATGTATCTACTCAAACAACTAATAGAATATGCTAAATCAGGCCTAGTGCACACCATCAGGTACATAATAGAACCTACAGCACTAGTATAAGGCACATTCAGCATGTATTTCACATCAGTTTCAGATTTTGGGCATTGCTCTTTAGATAAAATGAAATTAGAAGTGAGGGGGACAGCAGAAGGTTTAGCATCAGCCATACAGAATTTATTCAAAATTTTCTTAATGTATGAAGACTGATTTAAAAACAGCATGTTATCTTTTCTTTTCCTAAGTATATTCATACCAAGAATTACCTTTGCATCTCCTAGGTATTTCATATCAAACTTCTTGCTTAAACAATCTTTTATATGATTAATTGTTTCCAAACTAGGACACATAATCAACATATCATCAACATATAATAGCAAGAATATGGGATGCTCACATGCTATTTTAAAATACAAACAATGATCAAAATTGCTTCTATTAAATTTCAAAGATTTCATGCATTCATCAAATTTTATGTTTCATTGCCTAGGGGACTGTTTCAGTCCATAAAGGGATTTCTTTAAAAGACACACATGATTAGGATTAGTTTTATCAAAGAAGCCTTCCGGCTGTTTCATGTAAATCCTTTCATACAAATCACCATGTAAAAATGCAGTTTTTACATCTAATTGTTTCAATTCCCAATTAAAATAGGCAACCAAAGTAAGCATGAGTCTTATAGTAGAATATTTAACAACAGGAGCAAAAATTTCATTGTAATCTATTCCCTCCTTTTGTGTAAACCCCTTAGCAACTAATCTTTCTTTAAATCTAACTCCATTTTCATCTTGTTTTACTTTGTACAGCCATTTACAATCAACAACAGAACTGTTAGCTAACTTTGGCACCAAAATCCAGGTTTTATTCTCCTTTAATGACTTCATTTCTTTATTCATTGCATTAACCCACTCATTTCTTTGTTTTGATTTCATAGCTTCACTATATGACCTTGGTTCATTACCATCTAATGATTCAAACACATTATAAGCTAAGGAGATAACATCAACATCAAAATCATATAACCTAGGGGGCTGTCTTACATTTCGCCTAACTCTATCCCTAGCAAGTTGATAATTTTCCAGATTTTGATCAATATTTTCAGCAATTCCAGATTCCATTCTCTCATCAACATCATCAGAACTGATCTCCAGACCAGTCTCTGAATTTCCAGAATTAAAATCTGGATCAGAACTGGTTGTCCTGGTATCAGTTCTATTTGAGGCACTGTGATCAAGTAATTCAGCCTCTAAATTGGCTAAATTATAATGATTTTGCTCCACCTCATTCTGAGTATCATTAGGACCATTAACAGCAGTATTTTCATCATTTAAAGTCTGATTTTGCTTCAAACAGGGCATTTCATTCTCATTAAATGCTACATCTCGACTAACAAAAGTTTTGAAACCTGGTTTAGTGTTTAACCATAGCCTATATCCCTTAACACCCTCGGGATACCCTAGGAACACACACTTCTCAGCCCTAGGTTCAAGTTTATCATTGAAAACACGTATAAAAGCAGAACAGCCAAATACTTTCAGGTTTGAAAAATCAATTCTCTTTCCACTCCACCTAAATTCAGGACATTCACCTTTCAAAGGCACTGAAGGTGATCTGTTAATTAAATAGGCTGCTGTAAGAACAGCCTCACCCCAAAAGCTCTTGGATAAACCCGAGGAAGCAAGCAAGCTTCGAACTCTTTCTAATAGAGTTCGGTTCATCCTCTCAGCCACCCCATTTTGTTGAGGTGTATAAGGGGCTGTTTTATGTCGCTTTATTCCATTTTCAATGCAAAAGCTATCAAACCAAGTATTGCAATATTCTAAGCCATTGTCAGTTCTCAAACACTTAATCTTCTTACCCGTTTGATTTTCAATAGAAATTTTCCAATTTTTAAAAATTTCAAACACATCAGACTTTTGTTTCATTAAAAATACCCAAACTTTCCTTGAAAAATCATCAATTATAGTCAAAAAATATCTTCTACCACCATGTGTGGGTTCACTAGCTGGTCCCCACACATCTGAGTGAAGATATTCAAGGATATCTTTTGAAAAAATCCTACTTTCAGTAGGTTTTTGAGGAAAAGTAACTCTATGATGCTTTCCATATATGAAATTGTCACAAAATGGCACATTTGAGAAATTTCCAGCACCTAAACAACCAGTTTTATGCAAAATCTCCAATCCTCTATTACTCAAATGACCTAATCTCCTATGCCACAACTCAGTGCTGTCATGGACAACATTCACACAAGCATCAGATTCACAAATAGGCACAGCAGACACAATATAGAGATTATTTCTCAAATCAGCCTTGAAAACTACTAAAGAACCCTTAGTTATTTTCATAAAATCCATTCCTCATTTTCCTTCTAGTCCTAAAGAAGACAAACCAGCACAAGAAAGCAAGTTATTTGACAGATTAGGGACATGTCTCACATTGCACAGCTTTAAAACATTTCCAGATTTAAATTTCAGCACAACA